AAACGGTAACCTGGTTGCCGAGTTCACGAAGTGAATTGGCTTGTTTTACAACGTCTTTGCCAAGCGACTAAAACCCAATCCCGATGGCAAACACCGGGGGGGGCGGTGGGGGAGGTAAAAAATTGAGCTGAAAAAAAAAAAATGGTATGTAGTACTTCATACTTCTTCGAAGGGGAGCGGGGGGGGGACTGGCGATGAACAAAACCAGAAATGCTGCACGCAACTTACCACGTCGTTGAAATAGATATTTTCTTGTTGTGTAGTTCAAAAGAGAGCACCAGTGTCTTAGTTTGTCAGCGCAACTCTTCGAACGCGTCTTCGAGCGCCAATTCTGTTATCAACAAATGGGGCAGTACTATTAATAGGTGTGTGTTGGACAGATGGCATCTAGATCCAGCTATCTGCCAGCCAACGCGTTCCGGAATGTCCGAGGGTGCAGATACCCAGACATCCAAGAGCAGATGTGTATCACAAAAGACATAATGTTGACCGTGTGGCCCATCAGACAACGCACCCCGAAACGATCAAGTTGCATGCCCCGGCGTTCAAGAGTGCTACTGTAGATGGGCATCACAAAAAAACAAGGTATTTGTATATATATATATAAAAAAACACCCACCAGCCACAGCCATCCTCCTCCCTTGCCCACTTGAGGGTTTCCAAGTGGCCTGCCGCCGCGGCGTACGCGCACATTAGCACGTTCCTAGGACAGCCGTTGCCCACGGCGTACCGCAAGATTTCCATGTTTCCCTCCCGGGCAGCCTGGGTAGGGGAGAGAAGAAAAAGCCAACCGCGTGCGTGAGCGAAACGTTAGATGGGCGAAAGGCGGGACAAGAATCTGTACGAATGAGGTAGTTTTTACTCGAAATAACATTCGTGTCTCCCCTGAACGGGTGGGGGCGCATTGTCTTCTGGATACTTTTTTTGCCACCTCGATAAGCAGTGACCGGAAAAAAAAAAAACGTGGACTTGGAAACGTAGAGAAGACACGGCACTGACAAACGGTCAGCCAAGTCGCTACATGCCAAGACGAATTTCAACAACAGCAACTGCTGTCACCGCTGCTAGCGCTGCAAAGCCTGAAACATTTCCTGCAGTACGGCACGAGCCTACAAGTATCGTAGGTTGCCAACAAAAACCCTGGTCAAATTCAGAAAAGCTCGGCTACTCCACAAAAACTTGAAGGGCCCTGCTGGAAGCTCACACGGACTGTCAAGGCTTCGAGTGGGAAACAACAACCAAAGGGGCAGTGGGCAGCAGCCTCTTGGGAACAAGAAAACCAAGCGCACCCTACGGTTTCTCTGGACATCACCCGGAATAAGTTTTCGAGTGGGGAACAAGAACAACAGCAGCAGTCTGTTGGGAACGAAGAAGACCGAGCACAGTCCACGCTCTTTCCGAACTTTTCCGAACACCACCAGAAGGAAGGTCTCGAGTAGGAAACAAGAACAACAGGGGCAGTGAGCGGCAGCCCAACAGAACCGGGCACAGTACACGCGCTTTTTCCGAACACTGCCACACTGCCACTAGGAAGATAGCTCTTCCGCACCTCGGACGTTGTAGCCTCGTCCCAAGGGCACCCGTTCTCTCTGCACCACTTGAGCACCTCAAGGCGCTTCGGTCGCAAAGGGTCGTCAGCAACCACAGAAGAGGAGGAAGACGCTGGCTGTGATGCGGCCCACTGGATCATCGTGCTCACCGGGACAAGAGCCTGAGGGGGGGGGGGGGGGGGGGGGG